AAAATACAGGAATAGTTAAAAAGCTTGTGCCTATGCACAAGTATTCATCCAGAACTTACAGGAGGAAACATCACTTCAGAATAAAAACAAAAAAAATAATTTAAATGCATGTTTTTTAACATTTCTCATGGCTTTGGCAAAAAATATTAGGGACTTAATATCTTCCAAAATGTCCTTGGCACCAAAATGAAACTGGAACTTCTCATGCTATGGATGTAAGCTCTTTTCTATAGCTGCCCCAGATACATCAGGCACATCATCCTACAGAATTTTATTCCCATTTTTTCATAGTGTCTCCTAGGCTTTGATTTCCTCTACTGTAAGAAATTAACTTTTCCTACTTGCTTTCAGCAACGTTTTTCTTTTTAAAACTTGCTCTTCTTCTTCTATGTATTTTCACTGATCTCACTTAAATTTATCATAAATACATTTTTACTCCTATATGTATATACATATATATAAATACATTTAAAAATCCCTATCTATTTCTCCCTGGCATAGGGACACAGAGTGCTGTGTTAGGGATTAGTCTTAGTGTGCAAATAGTTTAGAATTTTGATGGAAAACTGAATTAAGGAATATTCTGGAGAGAAAGCACAACGAGCAACTTCTCAGATTAGGAAAACCATTAAGCAAAAATTGCCTAAGTTTTACATGTGTATTTCTGCATATTTAAGTATATATACCTGTGTGTGTGCACGTGTATCTATAGATATAGATTAGAAATAAATAGGAATATTTTTATAGTAGTCCACCCTGCGTGAGTCATTTGTGTAGTGTCAGGACTAAACTGTGTTCCCTATACCACTCACATCTGTGATGTTTTGAGCTGTAGACAGCTCAAGAGTCTTTACAGGGTGCTCTTCCCACCTGCTGTCAAGAGTAGGTGCCATCTTACAACATTCCAAACAAAAGCTCTTTCAAAAACCCTGCAGGTGTAAAGACCCCAACTGGCTTCTGTGCAATCAAAATACAGTCAGACTGCTGCTTGCAGATAATTTCACTGCCATCCCAGTCAATTAAGCTTTCTGTGAGATGTCCCAAGAAAATGGAAGGGATCATTTGGGGGATTTTTTTATTTCCTTTCTAAAAAGCCACTGTCCATTTCAAATGTGAGTTATTTATACACAGAAAATGAATCTGCTTTTCTTTCAGGTTCTGTTTTGGAGTTGAGTGTGTCATCAAAAATGGAAGTAGGGAATGCAGAAAAGATAACTTTAAAAGCATGAATGTTCCTCTCTGATTTATCCTCTGACTTTTATGCTCTTGTGCATACAACCTGATTGCATACAACCTGATTACTAATTCTGGAAATGCTGATAATTAGTATATCATCATGTTTTTGTTTGTTGTTAATTTAGAAATTATTTGCTTGCTCTGCAGTATTACAAATAAAACCACTACTTTGAACAGGCTATTCAATTTGTATTGAGAAAAGAATGCTTTTTGTAATAGATACTTTCTCTGTTTTACCAGTCTTCCCTGTTTCTCTTGTTCAGAATATGGACCATTTACCATGAAAAGTCACAAAGTACTTCTAAATCAGGGTAAACCTTAAGGGTATATAGAGTCATGGAATCATTTAGGTCGGAAAAGAGATCTGAGATCATTGAGTCTAACAATTCCCCCAGCACTGTCAAGGCCATCACTGACCCATGTCCTCAGGTGTGACATCTACACAGCTTTTAAATCCCTCCAGGGATGGAGACTCCATCCCTGTCCTGGGCAGCCCTTTCAGGGAAGAAATTTTTCCTTATGTCTAATCTAAACCTCCCCTGTTGTTAAAACCAAAAGTATCTGTAGGAAAAATCTTTATCTGCCTCGTGAGTGGCTTTGCAGCTTAAAAGGACTGAAATACCCAACTCAATAGTCTTGGAGGATGATCTGTATTTTGGGGTGAGACTCCTGGACCATGATAGAGGAGGTCAAGTTCACTTCTTGTGAACTCAGGAACTCTAATGCATGTACCTGTGCACCTGTAGCCAGGGTTTTTGCTGAAGCTTATGGGGATAACTCCATTAGCACAAGTGCAGGAGGTTAACCAGCCCCTTTTTGTGTGTGTTTTGTGCCTAAAACAAAGACACCATTTAATCCCAACTGAAACACAGTGCAGTGCTTGCTCCAAGCAGAATATCCACCCTCAATTCCACAAAGCCCTTAAAGCTGATTAGTTTAACGTGACATTTGGGGAAAACACAGCAGTTATATTCCCTTTGGGTGCAGCCTTGGCGAACGGTTAAAGGCAAGGCAGGCAGCAAGACATTTCTGCAAAGACTTGCTGGGAATCAGTCACTGAGGAAAAATATTAATGAAGCTGCTGCTCAAAATATATGAATTTTCTATTAATGCCTGTGCTTTTTGAAATACAGTTTTCTATGAGAAAAACAAACATTTTCACTATTGGATGCCGTAGCAAATTTGAAAATTATGTTTTTTCATTGAGCCATCTGATATAAGCACAATAATCTGCTTCAAGTCAAGAATTATTGCTGATTTGTGTTATAGTAATAGAGGTATATTTTCTGCTGCCTACAGAGCAAATACTTAGGGAACAGTTCACTCCATGGAGCTGCAATGCATGAGTGTGAAACATCTACTTAAAGGCAGTGGAGAAAATATAACTTTTTACTTGAATTCTTGATGAAAAACACTCCTTAACAGACAGTCTGCTGCAACAAAAAACCCAAAGATCTTTTGTTTCTGTCTACCAGACAGTGTAGATCTTTGCTTTCTAGTAGAAGTTAATCTACATTCAGACATGGTTTTATTTGGACTTTTTGCTGGTACGTGCAATTGGTAGATATTCAAATTTATTTCTCTGAGTTATACATCTAAAATAAAATTTTAACCCCCCACAGATGAAAGTGGATGTGTCACAACATTTCCCACGTGCTTCAAAGTTGACTGAAAAATTCTGGTTTTGAAAATTTTGATTGACTGAAATATTTGCTTTTCAAAATGGTGCAGACTCCTTGATGGTAAACACTGGGTTTTAGTAAATTAGATTTACACCCACCTGGCAGAGCAAGGGCTGCAGGAACCATTTAAAAGATTAATCTTTGAGAAGGCAACACTAAGAACACGAGAGAAAAACAAATAAAGGGAAGAAATATCTGATGGATCTGCAAGAAAAATGCATTACCCAGAGCTGAAAATATGGTTTTTTCAGATTTCTTAAAGCTATGATTTCATAGACTTCTCTGTGTGTTGCTGTTAAAAACTTTTAAGATTTCAACTTTGTTAATAATTTATCATCTCCTATCTTTTTACTGTTTTACAGCAGAGCAAACCTCACTCTCTGTAGTGTGTACAGTTCCTTGTGAGCTGTACCAGGTGTCAGTAGGGGTTGGGTGGGTATGTGCAAATATAGAATTTGCAAATACTCTGCTTCAGATATTAGTTTCTTTGGGATCCAACCTTGTTTATTTTTAGGACGCAGTTATGTTTTTGCAAGGATTGTTTATGCCTTTGCAGCCATAGCTATACATTTCTCTTTTACTGTCTTTGTTTCAAAAAAAGCCCCAGTTGTATTCTTCTTTTTCAAAAATGTTAGTTGTTGCAATTAGTTTTAGCCAAAATACTCCTGAAGAATCTTTGGCACTCTTCATATATTGAAAAATAAATGGGTTTTACTAGCGTGCTCAGTGAGAACATGGCCTATAATTTACTGTTACCTAAATCTTTATTATGTTAAACGTAGAAAGCAGCAATGATGATTGGAACATACATATAGTTATTTATACTGGAAATGGTGGTAATGTTGTTTCATACTTTTAACATATCTACAACAGAAACTTTCAGGTGTCATCTCAATATAGGGCCATTAACAGCCTTTGAGTCCATTCTATGTATTCCAGAAGGGCTTTTAGAGGCTTTATATGTAGGAACTTGCTCAGGTTGTGTTTAAGTTGTAAAAAACACAGTCTCTTTTTTTTCTATAACCCTGAAAGTGGTTAGACCAGTGTTCTTTGTGTGGACTTTTTATGTGTGTTCTTTTTATGTTTTGTCATGGGTTAGAGTGCAAAAAGAGTGTTTTAATTTTACAAAACAGAAGAAAAAAATAATTTTAAAAACAGTATCCAGGGCTAATATGAGTTATAGGGGCCATTCACAGTCAATCAGTTCTCTTCCTAATGAAAATGGTCTACTGAGGTATAAGCAGAGATACTTAATTCCAAAATGGACATAACTTCAAACACTATGCTCCATGTCCACAAACCTCCCCTCTTCTGTGTTGTTTCCTTTTTCAGACTTAGAAAAGTCCAGATAAGCTTAGGTAGTTACTTGTCTCCATTGATTTACCTTGTTGCCTTTGCACTAAAGCACCCCTTTGATTAATTATTCAATAATACAAAGAACAGAATAGCCATCATTTCTATAAAAAATTACAAATCTTTCAACAGTCTCTTCTCTGTATGAAAAGAGATGAAAAACATTCTAAATGAAAATACAGCATTTTAGGTTTTGCCACGAAATTCAAGATACTTCGGAGTTCATATTTTTACTTTTATACCTGTCCTTCTGAAAATGAAAAATGTTATAGATAATTTTGAACTTCCAATAGAAATGCATTCTACTGCTGAAATGGTCAATCACTTAGTTTTGTGAAAACTAACATTCACATTGCAGAGACAAATCGATTTTTTATCACTTCTGAATACTAAAGCTCTGGTCACAGATCAGCTTTATTTAATATTTAATTCAATATAGTGCAGTTTGAATTAACTGCTAGAACATCAGTGGGTTCCAGTTCAAAATTTTGGGTTGAACTCTTTGGAAGTTAATTCAATCCAAGTTTCTTGTTGAAAATTCCTGTGATAAGTCCCAGTTAATCAGTTTTTGTGGAACTTCCATCATGAAGCTTTAGAATGGAATTTATACTAAAAGTGGTAATAAAAGTTATTCAATTGTTACTTTTATCTGGAACATTTAGAAGTCCATTCTAATGGACCTTCTTTTTTTCATTACCTCGAACAGAAAGTGCACCTGGGCCAGTCAGACCTAATGGCCAACGTGTTGATCAGCTCTTTGAAAAAAACTTCTTCATCTTTCATCTCTCAGGATATTGAGGTTTTATTGTTTCATTTGGGTTGGTTTTTTTAGCTGATTTTTTTTTACTTGCTTGCTTGCTTGCTTGTTTGTTTTGTTTTGGAGGGAGTTGGTAGTTTTGCTTGTTTTGTTGCTTGGTTTTTGTTTTTCTTATGTGGATTTATTTATTTATTTATTTATGACAGTATATAGTGACTTCTTTATTTTCTTTTTAACTCTAGGGAACAGGAAAATATTTTACCATTTAACTCCAGGCCTTGCCAACGGTTTTAGCAGAGCATTAATCCCATAAATCAGTCATACCTTGTGCTCTCCACAGGCTCCGCAGTTGGTGAACAGCAGATAAGCCCTTAGAGGGTGTTTTGAAAGCCAAGTAAATACATCTGTGTCAGATCAAAGGCGGAGCTGAGTTCCAGGGTTGGATCTGTCCTGCCGGTAGCCCAGTCTTGTTTTGACCAGAGGTCCGTTTGTGAAGCTCGGTAATAGGGGCTCCAGGGTGTCCTTTTGACTAATAACAGATAATCTTTCTTATGTCCTGCAGAATGAAGATTAATAGACCTTTTAATTGTATTCAAGCAAGTACATTATGAGATTATCACCTCAGAAGTGCCATTTAGCCTAAAAGGGAAAAGAAACCTGATTTCTTCTGTAAACCTGGAAAAATACTTTTCTAGCTAAAAAATACAAAAACAAATTTCTACACTGTAGTGCACTGATTTTGTGCATTTCTGCTGGTTATTAACAGTGTATCACTGGAATTAAAAGCTTGTCCTAACATTTCAGAGGGGAACACACGATGAAAAAAAAAAAATTAAACTTAGCAGTTTCCTGTTGTTTCCAAAGTCTAGTATCACAATGTTGACATTTTTAGCTTACGGCTACAGCAGCATAGCCGTATGAAACAAGTTGTCATGGTTTGAGAGCCCCAAAATCCAATTCCCTAGTCCAAACCCCCTCCCACATCTCAACCCGGTGTGAGATGGTTTTTCCAGGCACCACACGAGACTCAAAATGGGGGAAAGGGATTATATATTACAATGACTGTACAAAATAAATACTACAATACATTATATACAATCTTAGCTATCTCTACCATGACATAAAAGTATTTACAATGGATCAAATCTCTTCTCCCCTCCAAATAAAAGTCCAGGAGGGAAGATGGAAAGATCCTTTCCACTTTCAGAGCAGCAATGGCTCTAAGGCAGCAGGTTCTCTGTCTCTCTCTTCTATGCAGCAGTTGTAGCCGGATCTCTGCCAGTACTCATGAGGGAGTATCCAAGCCCTCTCGGCCACTCGTCTTCAAGCGAGGGTCTTCTTCCGTGGGCTGCGTTCACCCGGACACGGTCGTCTCACCATGGTCATATCAATGAAGCTCAGGGGTCTTCGTGACGGTCCTTATCTTCAGGGGATTCAAGCCCCTTTGCAGAGCTCTGTACTCTGCCTCAAGCAGTGGGGGGGCCAAGGTCACCCCCTCCACATTCCTTCTCTGAGCTTTCCAGCTCTTTTCTGCAGTGCTGCTGCAATTTTAGGACTTCCATTCAGTAGGAGTCCATCCTCTCCACTTAGGAAAGGTCACAAAAGGAGTTTGGGGGTTTTTGATTCAGTTCTTACCCCAGAACTCTGTTTCTGTCTGTAGAGCTTAGTCTTGCTCGCTCGCTCTGCTGCTGGCTCTCCTTCTCTCTCGACCAACTCTGTGTCTTCCTTGACTGCATGCTGTTTGCTGCTCCTTATCTCTTCTGGCTCACTGACACCGCTCTCTGGACTCTGATCCTGCTGCTTCTTACAGTGGAGAAAACTTCTTTAGCTTTCTAGCTGCAGGTACTTAGCCCAGTTTTACACCGTTCTAAGTCCCTGCAGCCCCCCAGCCGGGGCTGGGGGGGGGGCCATAGCCCCCCAGGGGGGCTCCTGCCCTTTCTCCTCGTGGCCTCAGAACATGGCCACCTCTCTCAACAAAAACTACAACTACTTTCTTCTCCGGTCTAAGTGTGATGTGTTTATATTTTGCAAAAGCACTCATTGGCTAAAAATCTTCAAGGGTCACCACCCCCTGGGGATTTACCGTTTTATAACTTCAGGGGGAAAAACTGTTTCCCCTCACCACACAGGTTATGCATAATAATCCCTGCTGAGAGATGGGCAAAGTCATTCCTAAAAAGAATGGCTGAATGATGCTGTCTTGGCTGCATTTCCTGTGAAAGTAAGAGTTATGCAGTCAGAGCTTTTACAGCCAAGAAGGACCTTTCAGCCTTAACCCCTCTTATCTTCTAGGCAGATTTAACTTTGCTTACAGGCAGGTTTTAGTTAGTATTTCAACAGTTCAGTCGTTATATTAATTATGAGTTGCTTTACAGTATCTTGTGTGCAAGCCTGTCTCCAGTTTATTTGTTGATCTACAGCCCAGATACTCATAGATTATTGGGACATTTTTATTTGCTCCAGAAAATATTTACAACATTATTAATTGCCTGAGGGAAAAAAAAACAACCAGGTAAATAATGAACTTCCATATTGCCAGTATTATTTTTCAATTTAAAAACCAAAATCAGCTGCTCATGTGTAGGTGAGCCCATTTATGATCCCAACATTTTTACAAAGATATCTACTAGCCCTCCAATAAAAAATGTCACATTATCCTCCCTACTGAAGACCGAGCAGAAGTTCCAGTATTTCATTTGTAGGGAAGGATTTTTTGTTTTCCCAGACATTGCATCACCACCCTTTGATTTCAGCTTAAAACCCATAATCTGCCAAAACCCCAAGACAAATGAAACCAGAGATACCTATATTTCTCCTGGCTGGTTTTTGAAGCATTGTTATAAAATGTTAACTCACTCTTCGCATTTCTGGCTATTAAATGTCATTCTGAAATTTACTGTTATATAAACCCCATTTTCCCTGCTTATATTCCAAATTTTCTTCTCTCTATTTTAGTCAGTATTTTCCTGCTCTTTTACCCACTCCAGCATTCAAGGTTCCCTGCAGGGGTCCTTGACAGAAAATTAAGGAATCTGCACTGGGACTGAGCCCACAGAACTGGCACACAGTAAATCTTACTGATAAATTTCCTCATCCACTTGAGATATATTTTAGTAAAATAAGGAGGGGTAACAGAATTATCTTGCTCTTCGCTATGTCTGAAGAGAGTAGAGCATGCCCATTTAGCATCTCAGCATATTCCTTACTCATATATTAGAGGAGAGAAAAGCAAAAAAGTAAATAGCTAATTTTTTTTACTGTTGTAATTGTTCTTTTCTGTTTTATTTTTACCTTTCCTCATAGCCAACACATTTGATCAAAACTTCTCACTATTATTGTCAGCACAGCAAGAACTACTCTAAATTAGGTCTTCGAGAAATTACACTCCTGAAAGCTACTTCTTACTGTCATCCATTTTTATGCAATTTTTTTATTTCAAGGGCAATTTTTTGCAATTTTTTCTTTTGTTTTTTTACTGTTATGTGGAGAACTGAATGTAAATTAATTTTTTTTCCCATTACCTTATCTGTTTCTATTCATAACTAGGTACTGGGATTAGTGAATTGCACTGCACTGCTGGTAATAGTGTTTGACAGAAAAGCAGCAGAACACCATCAGCATGTTGTGTCAGGAACTACTCATGATCTATTCATATTTTTTTCTCTCTGCTTTATTTTAATGGCTAAGTATTGTTCTGTCCTTGGCTTTTCCATAAGAAAGTTGATTGACCTAACACAGACCATTGTTCCAGATTTTGTCAAGTGTTGGAGTTTACTAATGCAGCTCAAAGGCTCTTTTAGCTCCACCAGATGTCTAGACCTGCTTAATCACTGGTAATTTAATTTTTTAAATTTTAAAAATTAAATGTTTAAATCCTCTAGCCTTCTCAAGGACTGATAAGCTTTGAATATTTCATAGCAGACAGAGAGACTGATGCTGTTTTATTAGTGGTGCAGTCAACTATGACATCTCTACAAAAATCCTCTAATCATATTTACAGTGAAAATACTTCTGTGCATAGATGTGGAATATTCAGTGTTAGGAGGGAAGGTTGTAGATTTAATCATCACTGATGTTGTAATTTCAAAATTCTGAATTTTCTTTTACTTCAGACCTGAACAAGCCTGGTACTACCATTTCCCTTGGGAATATTGGTACTCCCTGATAAGTTGTGAGAGTTACCAAGACCCACAGGAGTTATTCTGGTTTGCAGGATGAGTATGAAAACAGTATTATCTTGTGTGAGCTGCAGGCAGGATTTACCAGGGTGCTGACACAACCTCAGAATCTCAGCGCCTTGAGTTCACGTAGGAAATGGATGACGATTCCCCTAGGCATTTTTGAAAATCCAGACCTTAAGGCTAAAATTTTCTTTTTGCCTTTTTTTTTCATTGAAATATCAATGAAATATGATTTTTCAGGGCTTAGTAAAATGTAGTAATGAAAACTTGCTCTGAAAGAAGCAAATACTGCTCTAAAAATGGCCACATGGTTATCATATACATCTGATTTGACTGAATTTTTACTAAAATGATGAAAAAATCCTATAGCAATTCAACTGAGGTTTTTCCCTCCTTTTCCTGTAATATCTATATAACAGAGATAACTAAGTATATAAATAAATTAATGAAGGATTCACACAATCTGTACTCTTTAAGAAGTAACTGCTACTCAAGAAGTTGCTTGCGGAAATCGAGTGACTTGTCAGCTTGATTGTGTGTTTCATTCCAAAATTTTCAGCATATTGGCCTAAGAGATATTTTTTATGGTCCATGAAGATTTCAAACAGGGTTCACTCTCCAATTTATCACTTTTAAATTGAATTGTAGACAGCTGATGGCACATGGTATTCTTTTAACCTATTTCTTTAGTGCAGTTGCTGCAGCCATAAAGTCATTCAGAGGGAAAAACAATTAAGAGTAATAAGAAAATAGGAGCAGTATTTATTATCTTACCCTGAAGGACTAGAGACATTAAGAATATAGAGACACAGTGTTAAAATCATGCTGAAGGTCTAATCTTAAATGAAGAAAAAAAGCTAGGAAAACACATACCACATTTTTAAAGAATAAAAAGAATGACACTCCAGTCTTATTTTGTCTGAAAACAACCCATTCTCTACCTGGGTTCATGAGAAGTTTTATTTTAAACATATGCTAGCTAATACAGACCCAATTAAATGCAAATAAATCTTATTTTATTTTATTTTATTTATTTTACCTAGAAAGCATTAAAATCCTGTATAGCAGAATATTGAACAAAATGCTTCTTTCTATCAAATTATCATAGAATCATAGAATCATAGAATCGATTGGGTTGGAAAAGACCTCCGAGATCATCGAGTCCAACCCTTGGTCCAAATCCAGTCCATTTACTAGATCATGGCACTCAGTGCCACGTCCAATCTGCGTTTAAAAATCTCCAGGGATGGTGAATCCACCACCTCTCTGGGCAGCCCATTCCAATGCCTGATTATGATTATTATTATGATTTCTTCTAGAATGATTCCTTTTGTCTCATACTTAATTTCTTCCTGTAATTTTTTCCAGGTTGTATTAATAAATATTTACCCTAGTAGTGTATATTTAGGTGACTATACTAAAAAAGCCTTCCTATGTAAGAAGTTGTGATGAAAATTAG